AGGGGAAGGGGTGGAGGGCATCAAAGGGAGGGGGTGGAGGGCCACAAGGGCTGGGATGGGGACAGGGAGAGCAGCAGGTGGAGTGATCCTGCGGGAAGGGGCTGAAATGTGTCAGGAGGAGCCCTTCCACCACAGGGCCAGCAGGCATGTTCCTGGCCAGGAAACGACAGAGAGAAGGACAGAGGCAAACAGAGTGACAGGTGTCCCTTCCTTGAGATGAGATGGACATATACACAGGCTCACAGGGGGCCCAGAGGAAACAAGAGACGGGAAGACAAAGAGAAGCTCAGAGAGGCAGACCGGAACGATGGGGAAGCAAGGACATGACAGATACGGGAAGTCGTAGAGGGAGACAAGAAGGACCCAGAGAGAAAAAGAGATGGAGAAGCGTACAAAGAAAACAGAGAGACGGACACAGAAACGCTAACAGAGATGGGGAGAAATGGAGACGGCCAGGGAGGGGACCACGAGCTGGACCGCGCGCCCGGCGCTCAGGCCGGGCCCCCGGGCGCTAGCTGGCCCAGGTCGACCTCAGTGCGGCTCACCCACTCGAGGTAGAGGCCGCACACACGGAACCCCAGCACCTTGGCCGGGAAGACGCCCGCGGAGTCAGTGGCGGCGGCGGCCGCGTGTTCGGGCCCGGGCCCGCGGCTCTCGGCCCCCAACGCGCCCAGCAGGGCCTCCACCGCGGCGCCCAGTGCTCGGACCTGGCGAGCCGCGTCCTCCAAGCGCCGCAGCAGGCGCAGTGCGCGCGGGTTCAGCTCGGCCTGGAGGCGGCGCACCACGTCCAGTAGCTGCGGCAGCGCAGCCAGCGCCGCCGCGTCCAGCCGCAGGCGCTCCTGCACTGGCAGGTCGGCGTGGCCCGGAGCAGGGTCGCTCAGATCGGCCACCGGCAGACGCGGTGGCGAGAAGTCGGGCAGCCCGAAGGGGTCTCCCTGGTGCTGCACCTGCGGAGACGAGGCAGTCAGGGCGGCTCCTCGGCTGGGAACTCAGCCCTCCACCCCTCTCCTGGGGCCTCAGTGTCCCCAGTCTCACAAGGGGGGGACAACAGGATGGCTGTGTTCGAGAGAATACAAAACAACGAAAACCACTGTGGACTTTACACAAGGGCCTTTGTTTTCTCATCTCCTCCATAGAGATGATAAACGTATCCACTTCTTAAGGTAGTTATATGCGTGCTAAGAAGCTTAAGGCAGGTCCTGACCCATTAGAAGGGCACAAAAAAAATGTTACCTCTTTTATTAATGCTATCTTACAGACCCAGGTTCAAATCCTGTTCTCCACCACTCACTAGCTGTGCAGTCGGGTGCAAAACCCTTTCCTTCTCTGAGCCTCAATGGTCTCTTCTATAAGATGAGGGACAGTTCTCTGTCCTTCCTTCCTACCAGGGACCTCTTGAGAATCACAGAAGATAGCACAGGGCCAAGGCCATTCCAGTCCCTTCCCCATCTTCCTCCACCTCTCCACCTGCTTAATACACAGCCAGGAGCTCCATGAGTAACTGTCATGAGAATGAACAAATGAAAAGATAAAGGTGATCTGTAATTTGTAGAGATACTATAACAATACCATTTATCCTTTGCTAATATGTTGCTTCTGGTTCAGGCACTGTCTCTCCTGCTTTAAACACACTATTCCTAATCTTCCCAATAATGGATGTATTGACAATGGTGATGATTTCATAAATGAGGATACTCAGGCTGACCTGTCCCAGGTCACAGATCTAGGAAGGGGCAGAAGCTGGAAGTTGAACCAAGGCTGGTAGGACTACAAACCTAGTTTTGTTATCCTACTATTGCTGTCATAATTATTAAGTTATTATTTCTAATGTTATCATCACTGCCCAAGGTCACCATTTGGCAGGCTTGTAGTCTATCTGATTCGAAACTACAGGCTCCCTCCACTACACCAGAGTAATCTGGGGAACCACCTTGTTTCACTGGTCAGAGTTCTCCAGTCAACCAAAGGTGTTGGCAAACCCCCCTCCTCTGTAAAAGTGCCCTCTTGAGATGGCATTCCCCTGCCCTAGATTGAAATGGCCTGTCTCCATAACACACATAGAAGAGTTCATAGTTCCTCTTATTCAACTGCCTCCTTTGACACCTGGGGAGATCCAGGCTCACAGAGGTGAGATAACAAGATCATACAGAGCCTAGAACCTAGGTTTTCTGACTCCGAGGCCAAACTTCCCTTCACTCTCTCAGGTTGCCTCTGTCTTAAAGCACCAAGGAGGGACTCTCTATGGAGGGGCATTTGAGGCACAGAGAAAGTCCTCCTCCAATTTCCTGGATGATGACCAATGGCCAGTTGCTGACCCCTCTTGGGAGCCCCAATTTCTGCAGTTGTGACGAGAGGTTGAGAAAATGAGTGGTCAAGGACCCCTTAATCTATACTTCCCCATTCCCCAGGCTCCTGGTACCCGTACCCCCAACCCCACTCACATATTCCTGGAGAAGCTGCTCAGCATATTTGGTGAGGAGGCGGGCAAGGCTGTGTGTCTGTTGGATCTTGGCCTCCAAGTGGGTAAGGGGTGAGGCTGAGGAGTCAGCCTGGGGGTCCTCTGGTGGGAAAAGCAGGGGAGGAATGAGAGCACCCCAACCCCTTGCTTCTTGACCACTTCTTCCAGGCTTGCTCTTCCTGAACCCAGAGGCTCCACTCTGAATTCTCCAATTTTTAAGCCAGGCAGGCTCTGTCCCATTCCAACTGAGGGAGAATAGGGCACCAGACATTTGCCAAATGGTTGATCCACCTGAAATGCATTCCCTATCCCCAAACCTTGTTGAAATCCTCTTAAAGCCAAATTCAAATACGGCTTCGACAGTGTAGCCTCCAGATACACTCTTTTAAATTAACTTCTTCTTTCTACTAAGGGCCATTAGTTCATACTTTCAAGGTGGTTCTTTTAACGGCTCCTTTATCTAGGAGAATCTGCCTCAGCCTGGGAGCCCTTTGAGGACAGCTCACACGTCTCTGTACCTCAGTGATTGTTGGTGGAATTCAGCATCATCAAAGAACAGAACTTCAAACTGAAACGAGCCTTTAAGCCCATTTTACAGATTAGGAGACTGACGTCCCATTCCTTCCCAGACGGCCCTCCCAAGACCGTGGGCGGGGCACTGGGCCCCATCAGTGAATCAGTAACCTGCCTTAACTACATCACAAGTTAGAGGTTGGCGCTCCGGGAGGAAGACTACATTTCCCAAGATGCCTAGCGCGCGTGCCCAGGGCATACCGGGGAATGTAGTCCTGGCCCGGCAACTTCCGCCCCGCCCCCCGCCAGAGTTTGCCCCGCGGGTCCCTAGCCTTACCAGCCTCAACTTTCGCTTCTTGTAGTCACTCACCGACCCTGTGGCCCAAAGACTTCCTCCCCTAACTTTCCCCCTCTCTCTGGCTCCCAGTTCTGATTCTTTTCCGATACTCAGGATCCCGGAGTCCTGCTCCAGCCACGACCCCAGTCCTCCCCCAGGGTGTGCTCGAACTGGTGATCTATCTCCTGAGCCCAAGTCTCTGAAGGCACAGCCCCAAGCCTCCTCTAAACTCTGGCCCTTGGCCCTTCCCACAGCTCACCCACAACTCACCCGCTCGTTACCTGACACCGCTGCCCTGTTCTGCCCCGCTCAGGCCGCTCCCTTCCCCGACTTAGGGGTGGCGGTGACCCGGACCCCAGCTTCCAGCCCTTCTGACCCCTGCTCCCCGCGGGCGCTCGGCATCCGACCCTTCAGCCCCTTACCCAGACTGCCCTCCCTCCGGCTCATGCTGGCCCCCGGCTGATCCTGGTTGCCTCCACGCCCCCCTTACGAGGGGGGGAGAAGGGGGAAAAGGGTAGGGGCGTGGCCCGGGCGTAGCCAATCAGGGCTCAGACCCCAACAATCTACCCCCTTCCACACACACCCCACCCCACCCCCGCCGTCCCAGGCCGGATTCCTTGGCCCTTAGCTCACCTCTCTGCTCACTCGGCCTAGTCGCGAAGGGGACCTGAGGAGGGCAGCAGGTTGTCTGAAGGGTGGACTCGGGACCTCAGGCTTGGGGTGTCCGAGCCTTGGAGGCAGCCCTGAGGTCCGATGGGAGAAGGCTCAGGCTCCTATCTGCGCCCGGCCCGCTTTTCGGAGAAAGCTTGTTGGAGGGGGAAGGGGAGGGAGAGGGCAGGAGAGGGCGCAGCTGGCAGGCCAGGAATGTGCTGGCCCTTCCTCTTGTCTGGGGGAGGGGAGAGCCGGGTGCTTGAGAGGCCAAGGTGGGGGCCCTCAGGCTTAGACCACACCTGCCAGGACATACACTCCTGGCCTGTTTCAGATGCCTTCTGCCCTTGCTTTCACAGTCACACCTACCAGGGGACCACACGTCGCACCTGACCAGACCCAGGAAGAGAACTTCTGACACATCTGCATTTCCTGAAGGGTTCTCAAACAGAAACAAGCTGAAAAAGACAGGTAGAGGGAGTCATACCCAAAGGTCAACCCACTAACCTGATGCAGAAAAATGCTGTAGGGTCTTTATACATTTACTTATCCCCACACGTGGTTCCCAAGAACCCACTCTGTCCTGGGCTCTGGCACCCAGAGATGATGATCCATTCTTGGTCTCTGGGCCCCTAAGGAGCTCACAATCTAATAGGGCGACCATAGGCATCAGCATGTAGGGTTTGTGAATGAAGAAATTGGGAAGGAGACCTGTGAGTGTGGGAGTATATTGCCATGAGGAGACTATTGCCAGAATAAAGGAAGAAACGGATGAACTGGCAGAGGGCATAGCAGGTGAGGCCATCACACTTATTAACAGAGACTGTTATTGGGTATTTACTGTGTGCAAGGCATTGCTCTAAGAGTTATACACATATTAACTCATTCCCATGTTGTAGTTGAGGAAATAGAGATGTGACTTGTCCAAGGTCACTGGACAAGCAGAGGTAGAATTTTACCCCAGCAGTTTGGCTCCAGAAATGTTAACATGCCCACCTTCCTATACCTTAATCCCTCTGAACATAGTCACTGGAAAACACACAGACACAGTAGCCACACCCTTGAAATACACACACACATAGCTACATAACTTTAGCATGTCTGCTGATAAACACAGCTTCAAACAAAATCAACTAAGACATACTCATTTTAAGTAAACTTTTCATTCAAGTAGGGAAAAGTGCACACCATCATAAGGGTACAGTTCAACGAATTTTCCAAGAGTAAACATGCCCTGGGAATCAGCACCAGATTAAGAAACAGAGCATGACCCGTTCCCACAATCCCCCTCTTAGCTCCTCCCAGTCCCATGGGTGACCGCCCTCCTGATTTCTCACACCCTTAATTGATGTTGTCGGTTCTGAAATTTACGTAAATGAAATCATACAACGCATGCTTTTGTATCCTACTCCTTTCATGAGATTTTCCCCCGTTGTTGGGGATAGCAGGACCTCAGTCTTCTTGCTGGGTCCTCCATGGTGTAAACAGGCTACAATTCACTTTCCACTCCCCTGTCGATGGGTTGTTTCCAGTCTGAGGCTATTACAGAGATATGAACATTCCAGTACAGGTCCCTTGGTGCTCATACCCACGCATTTCTGTTGGCTGTTAACGACCTAGGAGTGGAACTGTTGGATCATACTTTCTCTGAAAAACCGCCAGCTTTTCGAAGTAGTATCTCTACCACTCCCCCCAAAATATGAGGGATCTAGTTGCTCTACTTCCTCGCCTCCACTTGGTAGGTTCAGTCGTTTTCATTTTAGACGTTCTGGTAGGTGAAGAATCAGTTATATGCAGCGTCAGGCACGTAATTGGCACTCAATTAATAGACTGTTGAGTGAATGGATGAAAGGGTAGTAGAACAGTGTAGAACCGGATAGTCTAACACAGACACACACACACACGCAGCGTCCCGGGTAGTAGAACAGTGTAGAACCTGATAGTCACACACACACACACACACACACACACACACACNAGCTGTGGCCCCCAGCTGTTAGGTGTGCCGCCCAGCTGCGCGCCGGAGCTGCGGGGCTCTATCTTCCTTCTGGCTACACCCTGGGGTCTACAAAGCGTGTTCTCCAGTCCTGCCCTCCCGAAGCTGGAGCCCCCGTTTATGCCCCGCCCCTGAAGCTTTGACACTCCTCCCGCGAGTGTGCCCGAGGATCTTCATTGCTAAGGTCCCCAGCCGGCCTCAAAGAGTCCGAGCTCTCCATGTGTTACCCCAGGGGTCTGCAGAGCCGCGACCCCAAGTCACACTCTCTCTAGAAACATCCCCCCCCACCATCTATCTGTGCCCTCGGGTCTGCAGGGTTTCTCCCTCTAACTGTGTCCTCTTAGCAAAAGTGCCCCTTCCATCAGGACATTACCCTCACATCTCGGGGTACCCCCAGATGTGTCCCGCTCCCGGGGTGGCCCTCTCCTCAGGCCTCTCTGACCCAATCCCCCCACTGTCCCACAGGGAGAAGCGCTGGGTGACTGTGGGCGACACTTCCCTTCGTATCTTCAAGTGGGTGCCAGTGGTGGACCCCCAGGAGGAGGTGAGCACGTCCCCCCCTCCCCCCACCACCCTGTCCCAGGCCCTTCTTCTGTGTAACCTCAGGCAAGCCCCTCCCCACCCTGGCCTCCACCTCCAGTCTCCACTCAGAGCTCAAATGCAGGAGCACAGACAGATGTTAACAATTAATAGCAACTCCGCCTCTTCCCCTCCCCCCACCAGACCTCCGTCCCCCGCCGCCCCCACCTCCAGAGTTCAAGACTTAACCCAGCAGTGCACAACCTGTCACCTCATGCAGGGCCTTCCGCTTCTCTCTGCCTCAGTTTCTTTACTTGCACAGTGGGGGCTTGGCAAGTGCTAACCAGAAAGCTGCCTCTGACCCTTAGCCCTCTAACCCCCAGGAGCGCCGGAGGGCAGGTGGAGGGGCAGAGAGATCCCGAGGCCGGGAGCGGAGGGGCAGGGGCGCCAGTCCCCGAGGGGGTGGCCCTCTCATCCTGCTGGATCTCAATGGTAGGTAGGGATGCTGGGATGTGGGGGGCTGTGGGCATTAAGGGAGGCGACTGGGGCCTCAGGCCCAACCCTTTCGTCTTTTTCCCCCACAGATGAGAACAGTAACCAGAGTTTCCATTCGGAAGGCTCCCTGCAGAAGGGCACGGAGCCCAGCCCTGGGGGCACCCCCCAGCCCAGCCGCCCTGTGTCACCTGCTGGACCACCGGAAGGGGTCCCAGAGGATGCTCAGCCCCCACAGCTGGGCCAAGAGAGAGGTAGGACCAGGTGCCTCCCAGGAACCCGCTCTTCTGAGCCTTCTCCCCTCCGAAGTGGAAGCCACCAGCTTGCCCCTCTGCCAGCCCTTCCTCCTAAGTTGCCTCCCTGAGTTCTGTGGAAAGTCACCGCCCTTTCTCTAGGGACTGTCTCTTTCCTTCGCTGGCTTCTTAGCTTCTGTGGATCATGCTTATCACTGTCTGAGATTTTCATGTAGATTTAGCTTTGTACTAGTTAAATAGCTTTCTTTCCCACCTCATGTCAGCTTCCTGACTGTTGAGCCCACGTTGACCTTGTTCACTGGTATTATCCTCAGAACACCATAGAACACATAGTAGGTGCCCAATGAGTATTTGCTGGGCCTTCCCTGGTGCCTCAGTCTATCAGGTCTCAAAGAGTCAGACATGACTTGGTGACTGAACAACAACAGCCATGGTAGCTCAGCTGGTGAAGAATCCACCTCCAATGCAGGAGACCCTGGTTCGATTCCTGGGTTGGGAAGATCCACTGGAGAAGGAAATGACAACCCACTCTAGTATCCTTGCCAGGGTAATCTCCTGGACAGACTGGTGGGCTACAGTCCATGGAATCCCAAAGAGTTGGACATGACTGAACATGCATGCACGATAAAATAATTGTGATAATCATAAGAGTGACTAATAGTAAGTGATAATATAACTGCTAGTATTTACTGAGCTCTCACTGTATGCTAGGCACCTTTCTAAGTTCTTTCCATGTTTTATCTCATTTAATCCTCACTACAACCCTATGAGGGTTATGATCTCTATTTATAGATGAGAAACCAAAACTCAGGGAGGTTAAGTAAGTTACCTAAGCACACACAGCCAGTGAGCTAGGATCTTGGGCATGAGCCCTCCTCTTGTGTCTTCTAGAGTCAGTCCCTTGTCTGGTCAGATTCACTTCCCCCGTGCGTTTGCCTTCCCCTGCCTCCCCAGCTCTGTCATCTCTCCCACCCATGCCTAGCTCCAGCCTCCGGGATGTCCCCTCCTCTAGTTGTACCCCCACTAAGCACAAGTTTGACAAGGTTCTTTTCCTGCTGCAAAACCTTCAGTGACTCCCTATGACCTTTGACTCCTCAACCTGGCACTCCGGGCCCTTCATGAACTGTCCCCTGCTGACCTCATTGTTCCCATCCAAGAACACCCTGATTTGGGCCTATGTTCCATGTCTAGATCATAGCACACACTTTTGTACCTTTACTAATATAAAGACAATAATTCGCATTTATCGAGCACTTACTATGTGCCAGGCCCTGTGCTAATGGCTTTTCCTGTCTCATTTAATCCTTAAAACAGTCTCGTGTGGTAATTACTGTGCATGTGGTATAGTCACTCAGTTGTGTCTCTTTGTGACCCTTTAGACTTTAAGCCCACCAGGCTCCTCTGTCCATGGGGATTCTCCAGGCAAGAATACTGGAATGGATTGCCATGTCCTCCTCCAGGGGATCTTCCCCACCCAGGAATTGAACCGGCATCTCCTGTGCCTCCTGCTTTACAAGCAGATTCTTTACCCACTAAGCCATCAGGGAACCCAGTCATTACTACAATTATCCCCATTTTACAGACAGGAAAACAGGCTTAGAGAAATAAAGTTACTTGCCCAAGGTCAGAATTTGAACCCAAGCAGTCCAACCCCGGGCTTCCCAGGTGGCTCAGTGGTAAAGAACCCACCTGCCAATGCAGGAGACATAAAGAGACGCGGGTTTGATCCCTGAGTCAGGAAGATCCCCTGGATGGGGGCATGGCAGCCCACTCCAGTATTCTTGCCTGGCGAATTCCGTGGACAGAGGAACCTGGTGGGCTACAGTCCATTGGGTTGTATTAAGTCAGACATGAGTGAAGTGACTTAGCACCCACACACATGCACAGAGTCCAGCACCCAGATCTGTGCTTGCCAAGCTTCTGTTGCCTCCACCTGAAATGTGCTCCAGCTCCCCATTTGTCTACCTGATCAAATCTACTCACCCGTCAAGATCCCATCTACATGTCCTTCCTGTGTTTTCTTTCTGGGTTGCAGCTAGGGATCTGGCTCCCCACTGAGTGCTCCCATAGCTCACAGGCTTATGTGACTTGTAGGTTTCCCTCCTGGTCTCTGCAGTAGCTCAGGGAACATCTGTTAATTTCATGTTTCAGATCCTGGGGGCATACCTGCGGGCAGCACGGATGAACCCCCCATGTTGACCAAGGAGGAGCCTGTTCCAGAATTGTTGGAGGCTGAGGTGAGAGTGGCCACCTGGACTCCCAGGTCTTGGAAGGAATGGGGAGCTGTGGGGCTGCTAAAAGCTTGAGGGCTGCACTCTTGAAGTCAAGGTGGGAAATGTAGGCCTTGGATACAGCTAAAGGTTTCTAGGCTGGGTTCTTGGGACTGAAAAGAAAAGGGTGTTTTAGAAACAAAATCCTGCAGGCTGGATGGGGGCTGACTTAAGACCATTAAAAACCTGAAAAGATCGTGGTGCAACTTCAAGTTTTTTTTTGAATCCTGAGTATGTAATTTAGCTTTAAAAAGTCTCCCACAAACTTCTGACGTTCCCTACAAGGACTACCGTGTGATACGTTTTCCAGAATTATCAACCTCTTTCCCCCAGTGTTGTTGTTTCCGGCGCCTTACTTAGTCTGCTTCCCAGGTGGCGCTAGCGGTAAGGAACCCGCCTGCCAATGCAGGAGACATAAGAGACGTGGGTTTGATCCCTGGGTTGGGAAGATCCCCTGGAGGAGGGCATGGCAACCCACTCCAGTATTCCGGCCTGGAGAAACCCATGGACAGAGGAGCCTGGTGGGCTATAGTCCATAGGGTCGCACAGAGTCGGACACAACTGAAGCAACTTAGCATACACGCACTTCGCGTCCTGGGGCCCTGGCCCTGGGCTGGACTCCCAAGTCCGGGAAGGGAATGGAGTGGAGGCTTTGGAGAAGGCAGGGCTAGGAGCCTGCACTCCTGGGTTGGGGTGGAGCTCACGCCTGTCCACCCTTCCTCTCCAGGCCCCTGAAGCTTACCCCGTCTTTGAGCCCGTGCCATCTGTCCCCGAGGCAGCCCAGGGTGATCCCGAGGACTCGGAGGGCGCCCCCCCACTCAAGCGCATCTACCCAAATGCCCCTGACCCCTGAGAAGCCGGCCTGCCTGTCCTGTCGCCCCCGGGGCCCCTTTGGCTTTTTACAAATAAAGACCCTTTTGTAATTTTGTGTCATGTCATTTCCCCGTCAGGGCTGGGGAGGGTCTTTGGAGACAGTTTTGTCTCATGCTCCAATTCTCAGAGGGGGTCACTGAGGCTCTCGGAGGATCTACCTATAGCTACACCCTGAGTCAGACATGGAAGGGGGTTCGAGCCGGACCCTGCCTCCCCCACCCTCTCTCCACTCTCTCTTGTCCCCCTTACCTTTGACCCTGCCTTTGGCTGTCCTGCTCTTGGGAATCCCCAGGGCCCCTTTTCTTCCTGCTCAGGCCTGCCCAGGCCCAGCGATTACCAAAGCTCTGGGCTGCTAGGCCTGTGATTCCCGTTCACACACAGGAACATAGAGGCCCAGAGGGATTTTGGGGCGTGCGATGACCCAACCTGTTCCCTGCCCCCAGGAAGCTACAATCTGGTGCCTCCCTGCCTCTGGTCAGCCATTCCTCCAGTGGACCCTTGCCCACACTCCTAGTGGAATCTTCCTTGTCCTCATCTCAATTGCTACCTCTTCCAGGAAGCCTTCCCTGACTGCAGGCTTAGTGAGTTTCTCCCACCGTTTGGGCCCCCACACCACCACCCTGTGTGTTTCTCTCCCTTTGTCTCAGTATTGATCAGGGTGTTGGGGGACGGTGGGTTCGTGCATCTGTCTCATCCACTAGGCTGTGGGCCGCTGAGAGCAGAACTTGGTCCCAGCCATGCCTAGCAGCACACTCAGCATAGAACAGTCACAGTAACTATTTGATGAATGAATGAATGAGCTGAGGCTTTCCAGGAAGGCTTCTCTGAGGAGGTGGCCTGTGAGCTGGACTCTGAGCCACGCACCTCAGCATGGTAGATCTGAAGTCAGAAGTCCTGGCTCTGTTACTCACTAGCCCTTTGACTCTATGCTGGACTCCTTTCCCTCTCTGAGCCGTAGTTTGTTCATCTGAGCAATGGGACAATAGCTAGGCCTCATCTGCTGCAGTGGTTTGTGGGAACCTTCAAATAACGTAAGAAACCTTCACTCTATGCCTGGCAGAGAGTCAGAGTCAGGTGTGTTAACTCTATTTTTAACAAAGGAAGAGACTGAGGTTCAGAGAAGACCACATTGAAACTTTAAAGAACTTTTTAAAAAATTTAGGGGTATTTCTGATAGCAGCTGCAGTAGTAATAATATCTGAGACGGGCTGGCCAGGGAAGCCAGGTGTGCGGTGATGTGGTATATTCATTTTTTGTCGTCGCCTAACAAATTATCACAATCTTAGTGGCTTAAAACAACACAGATTTATTACCTTAGCATTCTGGAGGACAGATTTCCAAGCTTACTCTCAGTGGATTAAAATGAAAGTGTCAGCAGGGGCTCATTCCTTCCAGGGCCTATAGGGGAGGATGTGTGTGCTTGCCTTTTCTGGCTTCTGCAGTCCACCTGCAAGTCTTGTGGCCCCTGCCTCCATCTTCAAATCCATCAGCAAGAGTAGCATCCTCCAAACTCCCTTTCTCTCTCTGCTTCCATTGTCACCTTTTCTTCTCTGACTCTCCTGCCTCCCTCTATTAAAGACTCTGGTGATTGCTTTGAACCTACGGGATAATCTAGGATAATCTTACCATCTCAAGATTCTTAATTTAATCACATCAGCAGAATCTTATTTGCCGTGTAAAGTAACATCATCACAGGTTCCAGAGATAGGGCATGGACATCTTTGGAGGGCCAAGATTCAGCCTAGCACATGTGGTAATAATCTCAACCGTTTTGGGGGTGTGTGGGTCATCTCATGTATCACCCCATGGGGTAACGAGAGTGCTCTGTAAAGTGCTTTGTATGGATTAGTACAGTATTAAGGCCCAGAATTCAGACTCTGGGTTTGACTCTCAGCATTTCCATTCATTCTTTCTGTGACCTTGAGCAAGCGACTTAACTTCTCTGTGCCTCAGTTATTTTATCTGTACAATGGAGAGAATAGTAATATCAGCCTGGTGAGATGATTATGAGGATTAAATGAAGGGATACATGGAGAGAGATAGTTCTCGACTTGGTCCATAGTAAGTGCTCAATAAATGGTTTTTGTTTTCGCTATTACCCCATTTTATAGATGAGGATGTTCAGCAGTAGGGGTAGAGGGCAGAGACTTACTTGCGAGTGAGACTGGGAAAGAAGTTATTTCCAAGTAGCCTTGAAAAGCTAAAGTTTGAGTCTCCCCCATTCTTATCCCTCTCCTGGCACAAGGCCTCAGGGTCTGGGCATCTGTCCCTTGGCCCAAGCCTGCCTGCACCCTTTCTGTAGTCTACTCTGTAATTTTAAAAGCCACCTCTTCCATAGCCACACCCCTGACCATCACCTTGCCATGCCCTCCCTGCCCCCTCCCCACGTCCACACTCTCTTTTTGGAAATTCTTCACCCTTGGCACGTGGGCCCTAGCCTCCAGTGCCCCACCATTCGTTTCCTCTATGTCATTCTCTCCTTTTCCTAACCCCTAAAATATCCCTTATGAACATTTTCTGACCTAGCTCTTTTCTTCATGAAAACTCTCCTTGCGAGTTTCCACCTACTCCTGGAATTAAGGTTCCCAAGTCTCTGTCTTCAAGTTGTGCCCCCACCTCCAGACTCAGGGCCACATGCCCTCAAGGCATCTCCCCTGGGATGCCCCACAGGTCCTCAGCCTCATCCTCCTCCCAACCTGTTCCCAGCATTGCCCCACTGCGATTCCCCAGAAATGGCCCACAATCCCAGGAGTTGGCTAAGGTGGGAGCACCCAGAAGTCAGAGTCAACATTTGATGAGGCACTCTGTCTCATGAAATACCTGTTCTAAATAATCTTCCCACCTTCTGGCCCTTTCTTTGGGGTCCCAGTGTTTTGCTGGTGCTTCTCAATGAGTTTCTCTGCTTTGCCCTTGTCCATCACCCATCCATTGTCCACCCAGCTGCTAATTATAGCAACATGTATTTATTGTGCACTTACTGTTTGCCTGGCACTCTTCAAGGCCCTAGGGATACAGCATAGACTAAATGGAAAATAAATCTTTGCCTTCATGGACCTTATCATCAGTAAATTAGATCTTATGTAAAAAATTATAAGTACATTAGAAAAAATAGGGTAAGGGAGGTGGGGAAAGAGGAGACTGCAGTTGTGAAATTGGAAATTCAGGGGAGGCCTATGGAGCAGATATCTGATGAGAAGTTGGAAGGAAGTAAGGGGGAGAGCTCTGCGCTTACCTGGGTGAAGAACATTCCAGAAAGAGGGAATAGCCAGTGCAAAGGCCCTGAGGGGGCACATGGCTGGAAATGAGATCCGTGCCTCTGGAGTGGAGGGATGGGAGGAGAGAGGGGTGAGAAGTGAGGTCAGTAGGGCCTCAGAGGCAAGTCAGGCCCATACGTGTCGTTCAAACTTTGAGGATAAAAGGAGATGTATTGAGTTTGCCAAAAAGTTTGTTTGACTTTTTCCATAATGTTACGGATTATGAATCTTACCCAAATGAATTTTTTGGCCAACCCAGTATTAACAGTTATACCCAGATAACAGATGAAACCTGGGATAACTAGAGTGTAAGGTCATCCTTCTTGGAGGCCATTGTGAGGACCTGGCTTTCATTGTCGGTGAGATGAAAGACCATTGAACGGGTGTGAGCAGAGCAGTAACATGATCAGATTTAGAGAATTTTTTTCCTCAATATTTTATTATATAGAGTTTTAAAGTTTACAGCAAAATTGGAAGAATTGTACAGGTAACACTGATAACACCTACCACCTAGATGCTCTAACATTTTACTATGTTTGCTGTACCACATATCCTTATCCACCCGCCCATCCACCTTTCTTATTTTCTTTATACATTTCAAAATAAGCTGCAGAAAATGGTATACTTCCCTCTCAACACTTCGGCATATATGTCAATTAGAGTCCAGTGTTGACTAGAGTCCAGGTTTTTCTTTTCCTTTGAGGCAAACTATCCATATAGCAAAATGCACAGGTGTTAATTGTGTTTCAACAGATATATAATCTGCATAATGCAAGCCCTTATCAATGACATCACTGTCTCCCCCTGGAAAGTTTCCTGTTGGCTCTTCCTTGTCCCAACTCCCTAGAGGCAGCACTGTTCTAATTTTGCTTTGGATTAGGTTAACCTGTTCTTGAACTTCACACGCATGGAATTTGATAGTAGGCATTCCTTGGTGTCTGCTTTCTTTCATTCAGCGTAATGTTTTTGAGAGTTGGCCACACTGTTGCTTGGATCAGTGGTTTGTTCCTCCCTATTGCTGGGTTATAGGCTGCACACTTGGCTCTACCGGGAGTGCTCTGCCAGGCAGAGAGCAGATGGTTCCAGGTCCCCTCGCTGATTCTAGCTCCCTGTACAAGTATGTCAAGGCTGGTGCTCAGAGCCCTGGACAAGGGCATCCCAGAGAGATGGATAGCCTTTTCTCAGGGCCCTTTCTAGAATATCTGGGGGCCTCAGTCCCCAGACAGAACTATATCAGAGGTAGAATCTAGGGTGACCAAGCATTCTGGTTCGCCCAGGACTTTCCCCTATGTTAACCCTTCAAGTGCCATTCCCAGGAAACCCTCAGTCCTTGGCAGGCTGGAATGGTTGGTCACCCTAACAGGATCCCACCACTGCCCCTTGAGCCCCAGGCCCTTTCTCACTCCACACTACACGTCCTTCCTTCTAAGGACTGATTTTCCTTATACTCCAAACCGTTCTGCTGCTCCGTAGCTCTAAAACTTCACATGGCTCCGCATGGCTTTGTCTGGCAACCCAAAGGATATCCTCAGCCTACAGCAGTGGTTCTCAAACTTTGTTGCACATTGGAACCACCTGGGAACTTTTGATGCCTAGCTTCTAGCCCCAGACATGTTCAGTGGTATAGGGCATGACTTGGGCATCGGCTCCACAGGTGATGCTAATATCCTGCAAAATTTGGGAACCAGTGGCCTATGGCTAGGACTTCCTTGACTTACATGGTATTGAACATGTTGCCAGCACTTAAAATCAAGTGATTTCATATAAAAATCCGGACTCTCGGCCTCCGTTGACAA